ATTGATTTTTAATCCAAATAATATCTCTCCCTGATAAGGTAGCTATTCTTATCATCCTAATTTTACAAATGAGAAAAAGAGGCTTTAAAAATCTAAGTAACTTGTCCACAACCACACAGCAAATAAGTGACTAAATAGGAATTTAAACCCAGGTTCTTATCACCGAAACCCATGTTCTTTCCACTCTGCCACTCTGTCTTATAAGAAACTATTACAGATAACAGCATATTTCATGTCTAAAGAGACCTCAGCAACATTATATAGCCATTGCAAGAACAGGCAGCTCTACACATACTGACCTGTAACAGTCTCCAAAATATACTGTGAAGCCAAAAAACAAAAAAACAAAAACCAAGATGCAAAACCAAGTATATAGTCTGCTAACATTTGTATTTAAAAAATGGAGGCAATGAGTAAGAGTGATCCGCACATATATACTGGTATGTGCGTGGAATAAAAAGGACAGTAAGACTGCAAACAGTGAAGAAATGTTTCACTGTCTCCCCTTTTGTGTCTCTGAATTTGGAACAGAGATGTGTTTTATCTATCCAAAAATAAATAAATTTTTAAAACCACAAAGTGATTTCAACAACCTAGGAACTTCTATCCCTTATGGTACCGTCAAGTATGAAAATATTCCCAGTTTTCTATGGCTGAGACTTCAAAGCAAAGTCTAGAAGCAAGAGAAATCAGAAAGTGGGTTAACTAGATATCCAGAAGCGCACAGCATTCTTCTTGTATTTTCATAAAAATTAACACTTATAAGAAAATGAATAAAATGGCCGCAGAGAGAAATTTATCATTTTTTGCCTGGAAAGTGAACAAGATTTGGAAAGATCTGAGGTGGAGGATTACCAGAAACGGGAAATCAACAATAAACAGATCTTGCTCTGTCTCTCATCTGTCTCTGTCCTCCCCTCCCACCTTCCTCATTAAATCTAAACTCTCCACTGAAGCTCACCACTTGGGAGAAAATGAAAAGAAGAGGAAGAAGACAAAGAAGAAAAAACAACTTTATACCAAAATAATTTCCAGATATAGAAAAGATTTAAATATCAAAGCTATAGATAAAACAAATCTAAATGAAATTATAAGTGATTAAATATATAATCAAGCAAGGGGGAAGATCTTTTTAAATATGGACACCAATGCCACAAATCATCAAGTAAATGATTAATAGATTCAACTCAACACCAGTTTTAAACTTTTCTACATAAAAAGCTATAACTAAAAGTATGAGTTAAATGACCAATGGAAAATATTTGCAATGTTATTATGAAAGATTACAGTGTTTACTACCTAAAGAGTTCTCATAGCCTCTTGAAAAACTATCCAAAACTGAAAGGAGAACAAGAAACAGAAGCATAAACTCCATCCTCAATGAAACCAGGAGACACAGTAACCCCAAACCACAGACTATGAAGACTGGTGAGTGACTTTGCTGAGAGGACCAATAGAGGAACCAATTTGTCCCTCAGAACCCAAAAAAGCAGGGATATTAAAGTCCCAAGGAGCCAGAAAGGGTAGGTGGGGGCTGATAAAAGGGTGTCAGTTTAAGAAGTTAAGCCTCCTGGTCCTTCTCCTCACCTCTTGCAGTCTAACAACTCCCACTCTCCCTCCCCCTGGACAAGAAGAGTTATCCTCAGGAGAAACCACATCAGAGAGGTTCTAGACTCAGGAATACCAGAAACATCTGACTTAACATAAGGAGGTTAAGTAAAGATTTGCACATACAGCCACCCTTACACACCCAGTCAAGAGCATATGTAGCTAAGGTATATCCCCTAGGCAGGAGAATGAAGATCCTTATCTGGAGAACATGAACAATCCTAGGAGCAGTTCAACAGATAGTGACATTTAGGGATCTCCAATCTAAAAAACTGGCAGGTCACCTGATGACCCTGGTAAAACTCTCTAGTCTACCAGCCTCCCATCCTGCTTCATGTGCACTGAGCTTCAAACCAGCATGTTAAGGCTTCAAACTGAAAGATGAACAGCCAAGGATCAAATCATCAAAAGGATATTTGAAGAAACCCTCTCTAGCGGTTGAATGGTGCCCCCTCCCCCCCCCAAAAAAAATATGTGCATGTCATAATCTCCAAAACCTATAAATATTGCCTTATATGGCAAAATAGTATGATTAAGTTGAGGAACTTAGGAGGAGTTTATCTGGTGGCTTCTAAATGCAATCACATGTATCTTTATAAAATATAGACACACAAAAGAGAAGACACGCAGAAGAGGAGAAGGCAATGAGACCATGAATGCAGAGATTAGAGTGGTGTGGCCACAATGAAGGGAGGCCAGCAGCCAGCAGAAACTGGAAGAGGCAAAGAACAGATTCTCCCCTAGAGTCTCCAAAAGGAGTATAGCCCTGCTGACCCCTTGATTTTGAACGTCTGGCCTCCAGAACCGTGAGAGAATAAATTTCTATTGTTTTAAGGCACCCAGTTTGTGGTAATTTGTTATGGTAGCAACATAACAGAAAATTGATACACCCTCTAAGGTGAAAGTTGGAGACCTAAACAAGCAAGCTACCATATTCTCTCAAAATAGGAGGGGATTGTAGGTAACTTTACATTCCTTTTGTTTGTATGCATTTCTGATTTTTCTGCAATGAGTTTTAATGTTATTGCAATTTAAAATTATTAAAAAATGCATTTGAGGGGGGGAAAATGTATCTCCTGAGCCTATCATCATACAGGAACTCCTTTCAACCAGTGGGAAAACAGGAGACCTGGTTACTAGCCCCAACTTTGTCACTCAAGGCACATAGTAAGTGCTCAAAAAATTTGTATTCATTGAGCATCTATTTTGGTGTCAGATGCTATACTTGAAGCCACAAATGCTATTACTATTATTATTGTCAGTGTTACCTGTCCATCTTTGGATGTCAGCAATCCTCTCTGGGCCCTAGGAAAGGAGATTAGCATGAAGATGACAATGGCAGCTGTGGCTGGATTGAATAACGGTGAATGGCAGCTGTGCCTGGACTGAATAATGGTGAATGGGGTGATTCTGCTCAAGGTTATTGGCCATTTGGAAGGAACCTTCTATTAAAATTACCTTTTAATAGAAGGTTCAGAAAAAGCATAAAAGCTGTACTAGATAGAGGCCTCTCCATGACATGGGAGGAATTTCCCCCAAGTCAGATTGTTGGAGTGTTGGGTGGAGGCGATGAGGTGAGGGTACTGAGCGTCAAGTTGCTGAACTCCTCCTCCACATAACGAGGGGTGTTTTCCTAACAATCAGAAGCCTGAGTGTGTAAGCAGGTAAGGACAGAGAACAGGTGAGGGACTGAGGGGTGTGGGTAGTAACTAACTTGGAGATACCACCAGGTAAGGTGTGACCAGCCTTGCTGGAAGTAATTTTCTCTGTATCTTCAAAGTTCCCTGAGGTAAATGAGACAATAAAATTTTGCTCCCTCTTTCCCCTCTTTCTTCCTTGCTGGTCTTCAGAAGCCCTGCACACTCCCCAGCCTCACCCAAGATAATCCCACTGCCCATGGTCTTGACCCTGGACTCCTCATTCCTTCCCTTCCCAGACTTTGTTTTCTGTTCCCCTCAATTGCTGACCTGGTGATGATCCAAGAGGATGTCACCACCTAAAGTCCCAAACCATGGACAAGACCTGACCTGGCCTGTCCCTGGATTTATCATAAAAATCATCTTCAGCCCTAGCCAGTTTGACTCAGTGGATAGAGCGTCAGCCAAAGAGTCCCGGTTTGATTCCAGTCAAGAGCATGTATCACGGTTACAGGCTCCTCCTCTGCCCGAGCCCTGGGTGCAGGAGGCCACCAATCAATGTGTTTCTCTCACTTCAATGTTTCTCTCTGTCTTTCCCCCTCTCTTCCACATTCTCTAAAAATCAATGGAAACATGTCCTCAGGTGAGGATAAAAAAAAATAATAAACCACCTAAAGTCCCAAACCATGGACAAGACCTGACCTGGCCTGTCCCTGGATTTATCATAAAAATCATCTTCAGCCCTAGCCAGTTTGGCTCAGTGGATAGAGCGTCAGCCAAAGAGTCCTGGTTTGATTCCAGTCAAGGGCATGTACCACGGTTACAGGCTCCTCCTCTGCCGGGGCCCTGGGTGCAGGAGGCCACCAATCAATGTGTTTCTCTCACTTCAATGTTTCTCTCTGTCTTTCCCTCTCTCTTCCACTCTCTCTAAAAATCAATGGAAAAATATTCTCGGGTGAGGATTAAAAAAAGGGAAAAAATCATCTTCAGTGAGATGATCTCTGTTGTAATCCAATGGAACCAAGTTCAAAGTGTAATCTTAGACCTAGGCAAAGTTGGTTACCTGGGGATAGGAGCCCTGTGATAATTGTGGATACAATTAACATCATCTATAGGTCTAATTATTCTGTGAATTAAATATAGTAATCCAATCATAAAATTGGATTGAAACAAACATAGCCAAATGCCAATAATGAAACTTAATTCTGAGGGTTCTCTATCTCATCTTCTTTTATACCCCTCATGAGAGGTACTCTTCTTTCACACCCACCACAAAGTGCTGACCAGTCAGGGTTTTGCTTTCCCCAGAATCTACACACTCCTCCTCAAGAGGCTGCATGGGGTGGTCGCAAGCGTGTGGCCCATGGACTCAGAGAGCCCAGGGCTCAAATCCTAGCCTTGTCACTTATCCTCAATTTGTCTTACTTTCCCCACCCAACAAGTTGTGCTAAGGCTTAGAAGTTAAGTATATGAACTGGTGACTTCAGGGCCTGGCTCCAATTGGGCTTCTGTAAATTATAGGCATTGATCCTGGAGTCAGGAACTGAGTGTAGGTATGAGACACCAAGCTCCCCTGGTTTCATTGCATGAAGGAGTCACTGCCTCATCTCACCCAAGAGGCATCTTCTGACTTTCAAGTAAGCACAGGCCCAGCTAATTATGCGTGTGTGTCCCAGGTACAGACCTGGGAGCCAGTCCAGGCAGGCCTCTGGGGAAACATGCAGAAGAGAGCACTGAGCCTGCTTGTTCACTCACCTGGAAGAGGTTAGCCGCTTCCAGGACCCGCTGGACGTTCTGCTTGGTGATCAGCGCCTTGCTGGTGTAGGTGTAGTCCAGGAGAGTGTGCATGGTCTCAGCATCGACTCCTTTGATAATGATCCTCTTCTCATACTTTTCCTTTAAGTCATTGCAGAACATGGCCCTGGAGGAGAGACATGAGAATGT